CGGTAATCGGGCTGCCCAAAAACAGTTCGTATCACGATCATTTACACACTTAATTTTTTACTTTTTTTTCGATTCCAGATCATTGCTTTCTTTATCTTTTATTTTTTGACGATTTGTTATTTTGTTATTTTTTTCCCCTTTTTATTGAAGTTCTTTCTTTTGTGAAAAACACCAATTCATATTTTCTTATTATTACGTCGGTAAGATCGAAAAATATTATGCATATTTCTTTACTTAGTAATTTGTATCTAAATGTAATTTCCAAAATACACGATTTACCAAAAAAAAACATTGGTTTTTTTTTTTGCTCGGTCCTCCAGGTACTAATACTTAAAAGTCAATTTGACCTTTAATACCATACCATCAAGTTTAAGTGTTAGTGGAGGGGTTCCGGGAAGGCAAAACAAGTAAGTGACTGTGGTAAAATGTCACTTGAAATGTAAACGTCTCTTTGGTGTGCATCGCTACATAGTATAAAACAAAGTCGTCCTGCTGTCTGTCAGTCACTATGTATGCTTAGATCTTTAAAACTACACAACGGATCTTGCTGCGGCTTTTACTAGATAGAGTGATCCAAGAGGAAGGTTCATAAGTATAATACATTGCACCCGTGGGAAGCCGGGGAGGGTCCCTAGTATTATATTATATTAGAATATTATACTTGAATGTAATGATTAATAAAGTGAAAAACAATACAATTTTTAATAGGCTTATAATAAAAAAATTACATCAAATAAAGTATTAATCTAAAAGAACATTTATGTTCTTTTACCAATTTTTTCTCTTTAGAGAAAAAATTGGTAAAAGCTAATAAAAGTCATAAAACTATGCATGAATAACCGGCTTAAATCCAGTGTTCGAGCAGACCGCGACAGGACGAACTTGAATGGCTATTACAAGCCATTCCTGGGTTCTCCTTGCAGTATGGCACTCACGAGCATTGTCGTGTATCAGAGTAAAATCTGAGCCAATACTTTGTGAAAAGGGAACAACATGAGGCCACAGAATGTGTATAACGTAAGTTTTCTCAGCGTCTTATTTGCCATTTGAAAAAGTAAGCTCGGTACGTCTGTCCACCCACTTTACGGATAAGCTTCCTGAACGCGAGGTGTGTCGTCTCACTGTCACCGTCGTTCCCTGTCTCGAGGACGTCGATAGACCCTTACTCTTTTCGAATCCAGTCTAACTTCAAGTCGTGACTCGTCACAAAATAGAATTTCATATCATCACTTTTGCGGCCAACTGTACCTGCTACGCGAACCATGCGTCTCGGTGACCTCTTTCTGTTCCGTTCCGTTCCGTTTTGATGCCCTATTTCTCGGAATATCATCTTAGGTTGACGTCGTGTCAATGTACAATACTCCATTCTCAACCAGGATGCTGTTCTGCGGAGTTGCCTGTATTGCTGTGACGGCGGTGCTTCAATTTGCTGCATTCCTTAGCAGTTTTTTTACCTACCACGTTTGCATTTCATACCTAGACAATATAAGAAATCAATAAATCGCGCCGTGCGTAGAATAACGTTCTGTGGTAACATAGAACGAATTTGATTTTATCGTCGAAAAATCTTATTTATTGTCTACGCTTTCAGGTGACATTATTTTTTTTTCCTCTGACTTATAGATATTGAGATTCAGAATAGAACAACGGTCTATCTGATTTGTGCTCCGCAGTACAAGGACTAAGTTATGTACGTTTATACACAGATTTTTGTACTGACTAGACTAAGCTTACTAATGTAATAGACGAGTGTAAAATACTCTATTAGAGTCAATTGATCATTATTGCACAGTCACCCACTTTTTATGGTTTTTTCGTTGAAAAAAGTGCTACATGCGTTTATGTCATACATATTTTCTGAGTTTTAATTATTTATTCAAAAAGTATACTGTTCGTTAATATACCTAATCATATTACAAACCTCAAAAATTGTAATAGGAACTGCTATGTATAAGAAAACTATAACCAAAATAATAAAAAAAATAATTTGAATCGGCTGTCCTGAACAATTACAATTTTGCAGATGTCACGTTAACTACGCAGGTTGCGAAATGTTAATGTTACTTTTATTAACAAACGGTCGTTATTATGCCTACCATTCAACTTTTCAACGAAATAATCGCACATAGTGAAACTAGTTTCTTAATTGAGAAGTTTAGAAGTAATATAACAAAAAAGCTGACTTATCTACGTCATAATAATAGCCCGAATGCACTTTACAACATATCATAAAATTTAATTAAATTAGAATTTAATACTATTAAAACATGTAGAAATTGTTTGTATGCTGGAAAGGATATAACAATAGATGCGCCAAGCATTGCTTCAAATTTAAGGCGTTAAGATTTTAGTCGCTGTGGCTATCAGCCGTTTAGCTCTTTATTACTACTATTTAATACTATATTTACTTCTAAGACCGTCAATCCTAAAAGCTCTGTAGTTTTCAATGAACGGGCAGCAACGGAATTCATGTCAGTAGACGTAGATTGTATGAACTTTATAGTGAAAGGACATACAATCTTAGTCAATTTTTTGTTTCTTATGTTAGTGCCTACTCTAAAATATTTAAAAAAGCTTGTTATACTGCAAAATCTATCAATCTATATTAGGAATAAAATATAAAATGCACCTGTGAGAATCAAAATGACCTGGAAAATAAGAGCGAAACGGGAAGAGTCACGAAGTGTAACTCTAACTTAATGTTAAGTAATGATAATAATTCTATTAACTCAAAGCGAGTTTCTTTCGCCGGTTCTTCTCAGTACAGTGGCTTTTCCGGTGGTAGTAATTTGACTATCAATAAGTGAGTGTAATACTCCTATGTTGAATAAAGACATTTGATTTTGATTTTGATTTTGAATTATGAATTTAAATGATATTATTTTCTAAACTGAGCCAGACTTTATATACACATTAAAAGATTTGTATATAGTATTTAAAATATATTTTATTAAATTATTTAAAATAATAGCACAATATTTGATCGTTTTGCTGAAACTTTTTTGATGTGTACATATTTTTGATATTAGTTTAAATTAATTATAATTCACAAAAGTACCAACCGTCTGTCTGTTTGAAATAATGAGGAAAGTTATAATTCGGTTCATTGGCTCCTATTATTACCTAAGTTACAATTTTTTTTGGAACGTTCTGAGAGATCGGGAGATTGAAGGCGTACGTAGGTGTATTTAATTAAATAATTGTTTTACTTTATACGCAGAACAAATGACCACGTATAGTGATATAAAAATGAAATCCTTCTAGAAACGCTATCGCAAGGTTCGCGGCACTTACACGTGGCGACTGTAGCTCGGAGGTCTTCTATCTATGCTAATAGGTACCACGGTTGCAGGCCGCCACTCGTTAAAGCTATTTCGAATGCAATCTATGCACGGTATCTCAGCTTTTTTCGGACCATTATGTTGTCGGCTCAGTAGCTATGGTAACGTCTTATCTGGTCAGTTAATTTCCAATGGTGGGATATTCGCCTGGAAAGGTCTCGGAATTTTCCACGTGAATATTGGGGTTCCGTATATAAAAAGGTAAAAAATAAACCCTTATAAGACCACTCTCTAGTCCGTCTGTCTGTCCGTGTAAAATAAAAATAAAAACACCACCTACTTTCTCACCGATTCACAACAGTTCGGGTTGACATTTCATTCACAAAAAATCGGCTACCTGAAAAGTTACACCAGATACTGAGGACTATTTATTACTGAGTCCGTATTAGGAATATATAGAGTGATTAGGGTTATTCTGCCTTTTAAGGTTGGGAACCCTAAAAAGGAATGCAAGAAAGGTCTACTTTAGGAAAGGTCCGATTTAAATATTCCTCATTTAATACACTACAACACGTGCTGTGAAACTACGGTTTAAACAATGATTCCATTACGATATGTATATATATATATATATATATATATATATAGGGAAGAGGTGGTAATTTGGAACCCCTTAATATCCCAAGAACAGACAACGAAATCTGTTGAAAACCTATGAAATTACGTCGAACTGATGTAATTGAACGTATTAGTTCCACTGGCGTCATTTTTACATCGAGTTTGGACCTGTTATAAGAAGTTGAAATTTTGTGTCACCTGCAAATGTTTTTTACTTTTATTTCCTAATACTGTCAAAACTTTTGTTTTTGTCTAAAGTAAATACAGTAGGTGTTACACGAAGTATATACGCATAAGTTTACATTGTCAGAGGTAAGTTTTAAGAATTATCCGAACTAGTTTTTGTTTTCTTGCTTATTAGGTAACAAAGTAAGGTTTTAATTTTGGAACCCGATAGGTTCAGGTAATATGGAACCGGGTTCCAAATTACCCGCATTACTTTATTGACCGGGTCTCCTCACAAACAGCAACTTGAGTAGTCAATCAAGTCTATAGCGCAGAGAGAAAGAAGTCGGGGAAGAGGTCAGGGAAGCGCTCGTGGGCAGAGTGTTGCAAAGTCTTCTAGAACTCCTCTAAAAAGCGGGGATTCGACCTCTTCGGAATCTTCAGTTTCTTCAGGTGACACTGTAATGGCAGAAAATGTTACCACGCATGCCCAGCCCACAAATCAAGATGACGCTTGTTGCATTTTTTGCTCTGAATATTACTCCAACGGTCAACAGGATGAAACTTGGATTCAGTGCCAATCATATAGGTTGTGGGCACATACTGAATGCTCAGGATGTGACGCGGAGTTTTCTATTTGTGATTTTTGTATGTAATTTATTTCATACTTGTAATTTGGAACCCGGGTTTCATAATACCGGCACTAGATCTTTGAACACATTTTTTTATTTATCCAAGTTTTCTTAAAATACTCAAAAAACAAAGTGGAGTTCCAAAATTGTGAGTTGTCCAAAAAAGTGCATAATTCGCCACCATCACCTATCATGTTTGAGACATTTTTAAAAATAGTTTTAAAAATATCACTCAAGTTAAATCAGTAGCATTTAGCACTAACTGTTTGTATTTATTTAATTAATTATACGCTTTTTTTTCCAGATCCATATCAGATGTTTGGTCCCACAAGCAGTCGTCTAGCCAATTCAGGTACTTAGCAATGATTTAAATATTCCTGATTTAATATTATAATTAATGTGAATGTAAGTTTGTTTTTTATTTTCAAATTGTTGCTTTCACGCCAAAACTACTCAACCGATTATCATGAAACTTTGTACAAATATTAAATAATAATAAAAAAAAATAAAAAGGACGTAGGATTATATTTATTAAAAATTATTTTTATTAACGGCCTCAATGCGAGCGAAGCCCCAGGTAAAAGCTAGTATAAAAATAATTTTACAATAATCTCATAATGTTCTTTTACCGTACTGTCCTTTTCTGGTAGGCTGTCATAGGATATCCAAATATGTGGAACGCTGTATTTTGAGGCGTATAAAAATTTTCAATGTACACCCAGTTATAAAGCGTAGTGTTTGCGAAAGAGAAATTCGAGAATTTAGTAACTAAAAGCATACTTTAGTTACTAAATTGTAGGAAGGCCAGGAAGGGCACTATGATAGTATTTTTAATTCTCTGGTAGGGCCACGCAAACAGTCTTCGATGTTGCAGGATAGGGCAGGTCCGTTCGGGGGATCCACCTGGGTGTTGCAAATTTCCGTGGTGGCGGTTATCACGTAACATCAGGCGAACCGCCAGCTGGCTTGTCACCTTCTGACAGTAAAATAACGTAAATAAGTAGTCACGAAGATCGCTTGCCAACTCCTCGCAAAAAAAAAATGGTTAACTTGGAGGGGCAAGCGGGAGGCGATCGCTACAAGGCAATCAAAGTCTTGCCGCCCCTAAGTGACGCTTCGCTGGGCCCGTGGACCCCACGTAGCTGCACAAGTGGCTAATCGAGCGACGGCGTGATTGTTGGCTAATGAGCTACCCGTTAATCAGATAAGCATCTGATTTAAACCAGAGCATTAGTAGTAATGAAAGGCATCGTTCATTAAGTCGCTTAAGATTAAACAGCGGGTCGAAATAATTACAATTATAGATAGCTTCATACCTCAACCATCATGTACTGTGTCAGGCAATTTACTCTTTAGTTAGAATTATACTTATAAAGGAAGAAGATATTAGTAACTTAATTTTTACGATACACTTCGTTTTCTTTATTGTAGATGCATCGAATCTAAGGAACCGACTTTAATAAACGGGTGAATAACGTGACTCGTATAATTATTAAAAATTCAAGCTAATTATTTATTTGTCGTTATTAAAAACATATCTTGTAATAAAAACATGTCTTTACATTTCATAATCGTTAAAAGTTTAATGAAGTGTTGCCAGAATATAACTCGCTTCGCCCGTAATTTACATAGCAGGGCTGTCAATTTCATAAGAAGTCTAATTACAAAAATTGTCATGAGCATTTGACAATAATTAGGCTCTTGTTTTCACGTGAATACAACTTAACTACTTATTAGGACTATGCAGTAATCGCACCTTGGATATGGCATCATATTCTGAAGAAATTGCAGTAGGAAAGACCATTGCGCTATAGACGGGGCGCAAAAAAAAGCGATGTTCAAATTAAATAAGAGAGACTGTTGCAAATCATCCATACTAATATTGTAAATGCGAAAGTAAGTCTTTCTGTCCCGCTTTCACGCCAAAACTACCGAACCGATTTAAATGAATTTTGTTACACGGATAGTCTAGAGCCTGAGAAAGGACTTAGGCTATTTTTTAAATGGAAAAAAACTTTAAAATATATGTATATTTTAAAGAAAGATATTTAATTAAGGGCTTCAACGCGAGCGTTGCCGCCGGCGAAAAGCTAGTCTTTTATAAAATATTAAGCAGTGGTTACATTTTTAAATTATGTTCACCGAAAACTAAACTAGTTTTGTTGTTAACTATTGTTTACATAGCCCCATCTATTCTGATTGTAATTTTCTCAATTTATATAAAAATTTTGAGAGTAAGGCTCTTTGATATTATGTTATGATTATTAAAATCCAGCTTTTTAGTGCTAGTACTATTTTAGCACACCCTATGAAGTTGGTAGAATTTTGATATGGAAATGACTGTACTGGACACATTATGGCTAATCTGTGTGCCAAGAATAAAGTATGATTACGAAACAAATGAACAGTATATTGAACAGTCAAGCAGTCATTAACTTCGGGGAGAATCAAATTGTAATAATAAACAGTTTCGTCACACGCAAAGCTAGATGTCGCTGATAACGCTTCGTTCTCATGTGGGAAAGCGGCGGTCACGAATGCACGCACTATCTCTCTAATCGGCCCTAGAAGCCCAATGTTAATGTGCCGACATTGCCGTCGACGGGGGTCACGCCACCCACTTATCACGACACCTGCCCCCGTACAAATGTTAAGAGTGTAGGTATCAAAGTAATGCGGCTGATTTATATTTGGATCTAATCGAATTTCGAATCGAAGCGTTGTAGCAACTAGAAACAAGTATAGGAATAAACGTTTATATTTTGTTTCCTTTTTATAGATTGAATTCATCACAGTACAGTACAAATACCATCCGTATTTTTAACATGAATAAAATTAACATAACCATTGGACAATAAGAAGCAAGAAACACACATGACCTGCTAATTTAAGTCAAACTTTAAATCGTAGCGTGTAATTTCGTAGCTATTAAGGCCACGCTAGGCCGGCGCGGGCGCCTGTCGTTCCCTATGGAAACAATTTATGCCACGTGCCAGCCCTGGGCTCTAATTACGGGCCGCCTTTCTCACGGCCACGTTTTGACTCAACTCACCTGCGTAGTTGATATGTTTAATCGTACTTAGAATTAGTCATGAGTGCAGTTTAACACATTGCTTTTTAATTCGTGCTATAACCTACAGCAGTGTCGTAGTTACAGTAGGGTTTGAATCTTTATCATTAACCATTATTAAGCCACAGATTAGATGGTAACTACTTGGTGAAAACCACTTCACTCTTGCCTAGAAAACACTTTGTATTCAGGAGGAAAATCTGAAGCCGCCAAATTGCTCAACTCCATTACTCAAGAACATGTAGTCAAGACTCTTGATTTGAGCACAAGGAAGGCTGTGGGAATGCTTAAGAAATAGACAGTCATAAATAATAGACAAATAGTAGTCCCATGTGGGTATCGAACCCACGACCACCGACGCCGAAGCCAATACCTTGAGAACTGCGCCACGGAGTCATCAACATGTCATCATTTAACAATGTCAGAATAAAAGTCCCATTACGCGTCTCTCCACGGAATCCAAAGAAGTAAAACGTGCTTTGGTGCTGGGACCATTCATACGGAAGCAGTTCTAGACTAAATATACCTCCCGAGGACCATTCTGCTATAGTTATGACATAGGTTTGCGAGTGGTGATCAGATAGATAAATCAGCGATACAGACTTCATATAAATGTTGGTCAAAAATTCCCAAAGAGAAAACAGGCGGACCAGTAGCGCAAATTGTTGTCTTTTAACATTGGATCGTTGACGGAAGACTAATAATATGTGATCGTCGATAATTTACCGATTGAAGAATTAATCGCGGATCATGAACCTGATGATGAAAAAATGACAAAAAAGAGTACACCTACGGAGTTTCCTACGCCTGTTTCTTCTCCGTTAGAGGAACTTCATTGCGAAACGGTGGTAGATTTGAAAAATTGACTATCGATAGATGAAATGTATACTTCTTATTTAGATGAATAAATGATTCGAATTTTGAATTTGAATTGAATTCGATGAGCCATGGCCGACGGTGCCCCGGCGAAACGACCTACGAGCGTGAACGTTGTGACATCGACATAATCGATCCGCGTATAAATCTTGCGATGCCACGCTCGTGTGAACAGGATGGAGCCGTGTCAGTAGCGTTGGCAACGAATGCGCTGAGAAAGTAACGAAGACGTTTTATTCTGACGTAATCTTACGCTTCACAGTGTTTGCAGAGATGGAGCGACATTTATGCCACATTATTGTTACTGCAGTATATATCGGACACTTGATGGAAAATTCGAGGTGAAATAAAAACAACGCATAAGGTGTTATAGCATATTCGGAGGTCTCAATGTATTCTGGGCTGCCTCTGTTTACAAAACTACATATAGCCAAGCATAGTCAACGGCCATCGGGGTCATGGCCTGCACCGAACCTCGATGGCTCGTAGGCGACATGCCATAATTAACGCACGCATGAGTACATGTGCGGCCCTACCCACTGAGGAGGGCCTCAAGCCCGTGGGTTCTGGCTAGCCCACCGGTTTTGCGTTCGATAAAGCTTTAATAGTCTAAGTTACTGACGGTAGGACTGAAGGTATAACATCAGTTATACAAAAAAAACATATAGCGATATGTAAATTGCAATATGTTTTCGCTTACCCAAAACCTAAACTGAATAACAAAATAAAGATAAATACACTGATCTGCAGACAGTACACCGTTCCGCATGACAACTTTGCGGACCAGTCGTGCGCGGTGGAAACATACCCGCCCAATATCGCACAGTGGTTCGACCCCGGCCATTACCGCCTTACAACATACGCCTCCACACGGGCGAAGCCCATTTATATGCTGAAAGGGACCGCTCCTTACCGAAAACACCCCGCGTCTCGCTTACACCGTTATCAATTCGCATTTAAATCGACAAGGAGACTTCCTTTTCGGCTACACGTCAGCTACTCGCATTTTTATGCGGAAAATGTGATGTGTACAAATACATTACACGTCAAAGAAAAAGTTTCGTACCGATAAATATACATAATTTAAAGTTTGGGTTTTATTCTGAACGTGTAATTAATAAATCTTGACAAGATAAACTCATAGATTCATTTGGTAATGATAACCCCGACCAAACTTCGTCACCAAATCATGAGTGAAAAATACGATGATAATGCACCAATTAGTTCAAAGTCACGCTTTATACACACCGATATATTTATTACTAAAATATTTCACTGAATCAATTGCTCAGAGGAATAGCAAGAAATTGAATTGAGTTCCAACATAGCTCAGAGGATTAGCAAGCTGAAGTGGCGATGGGCCGGCCATATAGCTCGTAGAACCGATAACCGTTGGGGAAGAAAGGTTCTCGAGTGGCAGCCTCGTACTGGCCATCGCAGTGTGGGACGACCCCCCACTAGATGGAGTGACGACCTGTGCAAATGTAAGGGAAGTCGATGGATGCAGGTGGCTCAGGATCATACTTCATGGCAGTCTATGGGGGAGGCCTATGTTCAGCAGTGGACTCAAACAGGCTGAAATGATGATGATGATGAATCAATTGCATGACTTCCGTCAAAGGTATCAAAAGTCGATAGAAACAATAAAGTAATAAAAGAATTAGAAACATCTTTAACATGTCCAAAAACCGTTCATAAACTGAACCGTTTTCACGTGAGACTGAATTATAAGAACCAACTGGATACGGTAAACACGAGATCAAAAAAAAGAGCAACGTCAAAAATAGCCTGACACCGTGTTTAATGTAACGGCGTTATTTCTCCTTCTCTACACACAGACACCCCTACTACGGGGTGCAATTTATCCTTTTGTAACATTTCAAGTGTCCTTCCCTACCGTTCTCTCCATTCGATTGTGAGTGAGTGAGTGAAAATTAGCATGGAGACCGGCATAATGGCGGGCGCGGGAATAATGGCGCGATAATCGCGGCGTCGCGCGTCGGGAAGCGCGCCTTTGCTGATGTGATGCCACGGACACGGCGTATTTTACGTTTACATACGGAAATACATAAGTGTATAAGTGGCTCTGAATTATTGTTCAGTTTTATTTTAATTTAATCTTCATTTCGCTTCACTAAACAATCAAAGGGCGAAATACATACATACTTACTTACATTCTTCTCTTTATTTGATGCAACCGAATATTTTCGTTGGCTCAAAATAGAATGATAACATTCGAATTAGCCAATAAGTGAATAAATTATGCTGTCATAATTTATTCAGGGAGAGTTTTGGTTATTATTTAATATTGTAAATTAAATAAGTTCTTTATTAAATTAACGAAATACTTCATCGGTGTAAATTAAAAAATAGAAACTGATCATTAATTTATTCAACAATTTTATGTGATCAATGGAAAAAACATAACTTTAACATTAAGCATAAGCATTCAATACAGTAGTGTATTTCTCTAATAACTCCACTTTCAGGGTCGGGACAAATCCAATTGTGGCAGTTCCTCCTTGAATTGCTCAGCGATTCGAGCAACGCCGGCTGCATCACGTGGGAAGGCACCAACGGAGAGTTCAAGCTGACCGACCCCGACGAGGTGGCCAGGAGGTGGGGCGAGAGGAAGTCCAAGCCGAACATGAACTATGACAAACTCAGCCGCGCTTTGAGGTAAAAACAGTTAGCAGCGAGCATAGAGGACACAGAGCCCAGCGAACTGACGGGTACCCGATATGCTGTGCGTTTGTGCCTTGACGATGCGACCTACCAATAAATATGCTTGCTATATGTTTGTTCGTGCACCACTACGCATACTAACCTATTACACTTCCGTTCAATTTCCACGCAGATACTACTATGACAAGAATATAATGACGAAAGTACACGGAAAGCGATACGCGTACAAGTTTGATTTCCAAGGGCTGGCGGCTGCCACCCAGCCAACCGCCAGCGACCCCGCTTACAAGTACCAGAGCGACCTCTTCATGAGCTCTTACCATCATTCAGCTAAGCTGTCCTCGTTCATGGCTCCGCACGCGGCGATGCCTACGTCCACAGGTAATTTCCATAGAATTCGCAGCGACAGCGACTGTGTGCCGCGCCGCTTATGTCTCTATGCGGTCTCTGAAACTTTGTGCGCTAATGATACAGTCTCAAAATTTAGCGCTCTGGAAAATTGAAAACGGGCCAAGTGCGAGTCGGTCGTACGAAGGGTTCCGTACCGTTATCTACAAAAACGGTAAAAAAACTTAATGTCTGTTGTACGGAAGCACCACTAAAATATTTTTTAATCTGTTTCCAGTATTTGTTGTTATAGCGGCAACGGAAATGCATCATCTGTGTTAATTTCAAAGGTCTAACTATTACTGTTCATGAGATACAGCCTGGTGACAGACAGACAGAGAGTGGAGTGGAGAGCGCAACTCGTACTGGAAGTCCGACCTCACCTGTCAAACGGTATCTCTAATCGATCCTCGACGATAATCAAACACCGTTAAAAAGGGTTACGGACATTGTTGTTAATATCATGCACCCTTCAATAGCAGATCGCACTCCGGCCAATCTGCATCTTAGTTCTGTGTGCTGCAAATATTTGCACGCTACTCGGGTCGGCTTGTCATTGGCACGAGACGCCTTCGCACTCGACTTAATGGAATAAACCGGTCCCACGGCGATAGTTCACACATTCCGGGGTAGTTTGGGGTCCGCGTTCGGGGGCACTTTTTTTAGTACTCAGCATAATGTGAGGAATTTGCATTGAACGGTCTCGCTTGGTCCTAAGTTTTTGGGACAATTTTTTCTTTCCCAGTCGACTGAATTTATTCTCTCTCCTCTATCTGTTACTCGCAATAACAATTAACATTAATTTTACCGGCTATCAATCAGTCTATTTTTGTCGTGGTCCAGAACAAATAAACAACTTTTAAGAATATTAGTATTGGAACAGCGCTTTACAATGATCAACTCTTCGTTCCACAGCGTTAGCTATTTACGATATATGTATCTGTATTATGTCTAGTCAGTCATATATATTTTTTTTTCCTTCAGTAGATGACACAAATATCGTTAGTAGCAAAAAACAAAACCTACGTCAAATATCTCACTATAATTTTTTTATTTGATTGTGACAAGTTCCCTGATGTGTTTTCGGAGTAAAGAGATTATATAGCAATGAAATTAATATGTCCTATGTTAATTCCCTTATAAACATAACCTAATGCAAAAATAATTTTAAAAAAACTCTTCATAAATAACGGAGTTAACGAACGTAAAAAACACATAAAAATGAAGTGTGCACTTTTCGTTCGTAATCAATTCATAATTATCCTCATCATCATTTGTTAATACTTGACTTCAATTGAAAGATTTTATTTTTCAGTCAGTTCAATGATGTTCAATAATATAGGTAAATGACGCATGACCATACTTCGCGGCATACAAAAATTGTTCCGCTTTACATTATATGACATATACGAGTGAATTTCACAAATGTTGCTGAACGTATGATATGGAGAGACAGCAGCCTATAGGATTGAAACCTAATTACACCAATTGGTGTAATTGGAGTGTCTGAATTTCGATGACCTAGTGTCAATCTTGTTATATAATATCATGGAGTCAGTTCTATAAATATATCATAAGAGTTCCATGTCTCTCAATAGAGTATTAAAAGGTAATAGTATCCATCATTATTTCATTTTTATTTTAAAAATAATAAGAAGATATAAAAGCGAAGTTAGATTTCTTATTTTCGTGATTTGTAATTCGTCAACGAAAAAATCAATTAAAAAGACGTGGTAACTGAATAAATCGCGGAAATCTTTGATAGAAATATCTTATTAAATCGGAAATGAACAATTGATTTTTCTAATTGAGGGATTCTAACTAACAGATTAATATTAAAGTTCATTTTGGATAATATTTAAAAGTAAACTTTGTTAAGGTATTCCAATATTTCCCGGGACATTTATTCGGAATCATCACGGGTAAAAATTTATAATCTGCCGTACAAACTGTAGAAAACTACTATCTACATATTACTAACCAATTGCATTTTTAAACCATACTAACATGAATCATCCCAAAAGGAACGTGTAAAGCAATCAATCTCATATGTTTTTTGTTTGTGTATTTAAAAATCTTTGAAACTATTTGTCATTAGTAAAATGAAAGTTACAGAGACCGACACGCGATTTAAAGATAAGTAATCACATGCTGGCCGTTTACTAACTTGCTGAGAGCGAACGCTATTTTTACGAAGAAGTATCGTGAAAACATTTGCTATGTCAGTGTTTTATTTATTTATCAATTACTTTATCAATGGTTTTACAACGATGTAAAAGTTTCAACCGTCAATATTTTTATGATGCATACCGCCTATTTTATCCCTGTTGTGCATTATTTTTGGACTGTTCAATGTTTAAGTGTAGTTGAGGGCATATGTTAACTTAGGTTAGCGAATTGTATTGTTTCAGCGTCGATATTCCCTTCAGCGTCATGGAGCAACTGGGGCGGAGGGGGGAGCAACCTGTACTCGCCCCATTCGATGGCGCCCCCACACGTGACGTCACATTTGGGCTCCTACCCACACTACGCATGACCTTCCTTCTAAAGCGAGGACACTATGACGACGACAATTTGTAAAGGCTAATTAATTTCGTTACGGGCCCGTGGATTGTTTTTGGCTCTGACAATTAATTTATCTTAATTCATGTTGCGGATTTATTTTAAACATTTTCTGGTGGACGCCTAGTTTTGAACGGCCCACGATCTGCTTGAAAATTGTGTCATCTTCGGCTCCTACGTTGTTAAACTGAATGATCAGAGGAATTACTTTGGAGTATTTACTCATTCGGCCGATTGGATATGTAATAAATGAACAGTTAATGAAGTCGCCACCATTCGCTCAAATGTTTTAATCTAAAATTTATAACACGAAAAAATCCATCTTTAATTATTAAACAACAATAAAATCTGATTTAAACAATGGATCTGATTTGAAGAAAAATAGGACGTGTGTGGTGTTTCTAATATCTCCATAATCGTTATTTCAATAATGATTTTATATAATCCCACATATTTGCGAGTGTTGAAAACTTGTATAAAAATAACTAATAGTCATTTTAAATTATTGATCACTAATCATTACTGAAATTAATTTATAAATATTGTTAATAGTAATTTTAGTTTGTAGAGTATTGTTTTCGTATTAGTAAGAATTATTTATTGTGTTTATTCAAATTGATATTAATCATTTTACGATATTATTTTTTTAAATCAATTTAGATTTTTATGAGGTACTGCTATAGTTTGAAAATCAAGACTAGTCTTTTATCAAAGATCGTTGTACATAATAGATACTCATTAAATAAGTAGAAATATATTATTTATGTAGGATAACCGATAATCGAAAGACTATCTGTCGTGTGTTTTAATTTATGTAAATCGAAATAATCTCAATTCGAGTGTAACCATGGCAATTGGCAAGCCGTTTTCAAAACGCATCATATATATTATAACAAATCCTTTGGGATGAACCTACATATATAAATATATATATATTCTATATTTATAATAAAAATAATTTCGTAACGCATACCTTTAAGTTGTTTGACGTTGAACACAATCATTTCTTTCTGTCAAAGCTTTAATGTCAAGTTAATGTATTCAACTTTGTGTATAATATCGACTCAAACCCATATGTATCATCTTAGATTAATCATTTAACAACAGTCGCCGTGGTAAATTCTACCGAGTAAATTTAATGGAGTAACCGTAACGACACTTGTAGGTTGAAAAATATTCGTGCCGCTATAATATTCCGGTTACGGGAAGAATTTAGAAACAACTGAACAAATTCACGTTGTCGAGCTTAAATTATCAATTTGACGACGACGTGTCTTATAGTTTCTGCCAACGACGACTTTAGTGAGGAAAGAGCAAAAGCAAAATTGAAAATAAAACTGAATGCCTGCTGTATTCAAAACTATTTCGTAGCAAAGTTCACACAATTTTTGTGATTTAACATTCAATAAAATATAATTTACTACTGGTAATGATTCGATTTTGAAATAAAAACGTATCAATCCAATTTAAAATGTTAAAATTAATCAGCATATGATATAAACCATTCCCGTAGCGAAAACAGAAATTACTCCTCGTCATTTAAACATGTTCAACATAAACTTAATACAAATATGTATTCATTAAACTTAATACAAATACGTATTCATTTAATGGAATAGTTAAAAATTTGACGTTTACCACGAAAAGGTGTTTGGCTTCGTGAGGCGCATTAATAACATTACAATTAATATTACATCAATGCCTAATTAAAGTATTATATTGTATGTATATATGGAGTACATTAGGTATGATTTAAACTAAATGTAAACGTACTAGTAACGAATATTGTAGTGATGAAATATAATTAAAAATCACCATTTTTTTTTTTAATTTCATTCCGTTCCGTTGATCGTATGCAAAACGCCTTACGTCTCGAATGATATCTTAAGTAAAAGTAGGTATAATCATGCCAAATAGTATTAATAGATATGTTTTCGGACGAAACCGTAAGTAATAACGTTGTCTTCGTATAAGAGTGACAAGGTAACCATTCAACCGCACACGTTATTTTATACATACAGAACAGAACGAACGAAACGCAACAATTTCTTTTCCTCGTGTTGGCACAACGTATTCTAAGAGTAGGTACACTTCTGTTTTTCTGTAACAATCATTTTTAATCTGTGCGCAAAACTCACAAAAAAAACCGCCGAACGGGAACATCCTTTGCATTCCTAGTTTAAGTGTAAAATGTTAACCAATTTACTCATAAGTGAAATAATGTTTTATCCAATAGATAATTGTATTTAACATTTTTAACTTTTAGTTACCTAATTTTGTGATCCAATACGATATACGACTCATTAAACTTTATTAGATATGTATAATATAAATTTTACTTTCATTAATTAATTTATTTGATCGGTTAGTTCATTATTTACTTCGATGCATGGATCGATTTGATTAAACCATTTAGAAGTAGTGTACCGTTGCATGGATGTTATTGTAACTATTTGGAAATGAATAAAACAAATGAAATGTATTAGCGTTATTCAATACTTACAAGCCTACCGGGCTCCGTAGCCCCGCATCCTTCCATTCCTTCACTTTCCTTATAAAGCCTTTGGATTCTTCGACGGCAAGATAATCTTAGAGCCGTGATAGCTCAGTGTCCGGGCGCTCGCCTTTAATTCAATATACTCGAGCAACCCGAGTTCGATCCCCGGTGCCGGCACCAATTAAGTTTTTAACTTTAAGTGCTGACTTATCACGTGCTCCGCGGTGAAGGAAAACATCGCGAGGAAACCTGCATATTTTCGAAATAATAACAAAAAACAATATATTTCGAAAAATATGTGAAGTCCGCCAATCCGCAGTGGGGCCGCGTGGTGGACTACGCCCTGATACCCTCTGTGTAGAGGAGGCCTTTGCCCAGCAGTGGGACATGTATAGGCTGTTACTTTACTTTTTTTTAAGATAATCTTCACCATGTACATGGGCCACTGTGAAAGATCTGATATTCATAGAACGGCTCAATTTAGATAATTGCCAATACCTGTATCGTTGTTCGTAATAGTCTCCGTTGCTCTCTACACATCTTCGCAATCGATGGAACCACTGAGTAAAACAGTGGGACTATTCCTCTTTAGTTGTTACTTCTACGTCATTTTCGAAGGCACTCACCGCAATTACAGGGCTCGTAAAGCGAATACTTTGAAGTTTCTTAGGAATATATAGATATAGAATCTATGATTCTTCGGAATAAATAAAAGTTTGGTCCGAACAACAAGATGGACGACTCATTCATTAACTTGAAACCTTCCTTAGTCAAATATTCAATTGATCTCTTTGTATCTTGTATTAACTGATGTTTTTGCTTTCAGTCCCGAGACTATTAAAGCTTCATCTGACGCAGAACCGATGGGCTAGCCAGTACCCTCGGGTTTCGGCCCTCCGCTGTGGGTAGGGCCGCGCAGGTACTCATGCCTGCGTTTAACTATGTATGTCATCTAAGGGCCATCGAGGTTGCGGTTCGGACCGGGACCCCGATGACCGTCGAGTTTAATTACTCATTTGACGGATTGCGCTGAAGCGTTGTTGTGGTCAATAATTTTGCTTCGAGTACGCCCCTGTCGAACATTTTGCAACAGGAAAGCAACCGTTAGTCGTACCAGTCTGCAGTAAGTATCCTTCCATCTTCCAACGCGACTATCGCGAAATGACCTGTCCGACCAAAGGACGGGGCAATCATCTTCTTTCCTTTACTTCTTCCTTTCCTTCCTTTAGTTGGCAGATCCTCTAAAGGTAAAACCCACTGAGCAAATTGCCTTTTGGTTTCGGTTTCATAGATATATACAGCTTTCATCTGTGACGATGTCTAACACAGCATTAAAGCAACCCACCAGTTGAACTTTTCTAACATTTCGCGACACCAATCCATACGAAGGGGGGTTTTGGTCTTTGGTATGGGAAATCCATTTAGTACAAAGCTTCCTGACGCCTAAATGGTCATGTTTTTGTACATTACATACCAAACCAAGGTCTAACGATGCCCGAATCTCCTGGAACATTACTTACTTATGTTCCTCTCTTGTGTGCCCAACAACACTGATGTTATCTTCAGATGTAGCTGTTGAACAATATGTTTCACGTAGATGATCACTGAGATTGCTAGACTCACGATTAAACTAATTATACCAATTGCCAAAACGGTGGCACGGGATCAGGCTTCAATGTGAAATGCCAATCCTAGTCTATCATCGCTTTGTTGTTGATTTACATCACAACGAAAGTCGTATTAATGATGGAACAAAAATATCTCGCGTTAAATTCGTATTGGGTTGAGTCGTAACAAAACTTGGAATTCACGCATTTCACAAAAACAAATGAATGCAACGTGATTCAAAATTTTAAAGCAGTTTTCACTGATAATGTTTCTAACTGGCCAGTTCTAAAAGCTTTCAGTTACACCCTGTTGACATACGCTATCTTTTAATTGGAAAAAACTTTAAAATATATTTTAAAAGCTTCAACGTGAGCGAAGCCGCGGGCGAAAAACTAGTGTTTAATAATTTAGATGGCTCATTTCCATAATGCGCCGTGTTTAAAAATAATATATGACTTAAATAAGTGAATGTGACAGATGTTATAGAATGTATGATATCATGCAAAGACACAGCAGTCTATGGAATTGCAATTTAACCCATCCGATCACCCCCCCCCCCCCCCCCCCCCCCCCCTCTCATCTCTGTCCACATCAAAACGATTCCAATTTAATGAGCAGCTCTTTCAAATTCGAAGTCCAAATGACTTTATTCACTATTTGACTTATTTTAAGCTCTTACTGAACGTCGAAAACTCTACCACCACCGGCTCACTAAACTTAACCTGACCAGAGAAGAGCCGGCAATAAACTCTGCAGTGTCATTATCTTTTTTTAATTGATACAAACAAGTAAGTATGGAAACTTATTTAAGTATAAAATCAGCAGCAGCCAGGGGACTTGCAAGTGCAGAACAACAGTAGGTAATT